AGACCCGCCCCCGGGCCCCACCCGGCCCCACCCGGCCCCACCCCGGGGAGAGCGCGGCCGCAGTGCGCTGTGGCAGCGCCAGGGAACTGGGAGCGGGGCCGGGAGAAGCCCTGCTGGGAGGGGCTGCGTTTCCTCTCCCGCACCTTTCCTGCCTGCAGAGACGCGGTAGAGGGGACCCGAGGTTCCTCCTGAAACCCCCTTTCACCTGGCCCTTCATCGGCTTCCACAAACCCGGCGAGGAAGCACCTGCCCCTGGCTTGCCCGCAGGGACTCTGACCCGCCTCGACGCGCGCCTGCAGTGTTGGGGTTCTGAATCCTCCCGCCTGCCGTCCTCCAAACCCCGGCCTGGAGGTGCCTCGCGGGCAGAATAGAGTCCCGGACTTCTCAGTACAACAGGCCAGGCCTGTAACATTGATGCAATGCCTGATGCGTACCAGCTGGATACGCTGCTTTTACCGGGATCATCTCATTTGATTTTCAAAGCCAAGGTGATCTGTCCATGAGTGTTTACTTATATAAGCATTCTTTGAGCTGTACGCTTAAAATGTGTGTATTTTTAAAAACCTATGAGAGAGGTGCTGTAAGCATACCCATTTCACAGAGGAGGAAACTGAGGTTCAGAGTGCTCCTAACTTACCAAGGTCTCTACCGCTGTTTGTGGTGGTGCTGAGATTAGAATGGAGGCAGCATCACTCCAGAGTCCAGCCTCTTAACCCCTCGAGATTGGGCTCTGAAGGAAAAAAAAAAAGCTGGCCTTCTAGAATCTATGCCACCTCCTCCACCCGTGGCGCCTATTCAGTCCTTAAACTTGGTGTGGCACAGTCACTGGGTGGGGAGGGATTAGCCACCCATTCAGGGAAGCAAGAAAGGCCTGAGCCAACAGTAATCTCTGAAATCATATCATCCATCCTTCTCTCTATCTGAGAGCTCAGAAACCAGAGCCCAAAGGGACAATTTACTTCACCTGTTCAAAATCTCATGGCTCATTAGAAGGCCTGCCTGGGTTTTGCAATTCATCCTAGCTTACAGGACAATCCAGCGCAGCAGCAGTTTGGGCCTGGGAGAGTCTTTCCCCTTGCAGAGGGAGCCTAGGGAGAGGTAGCTGCATTGGTCAAGGGTTCTCGCCCTCCAATGGCCAGGGTCCTGGAGCCCCAGCAAGGAGCAGTACAGAAGTCTTTCAGCAAAGAGATGGGAGCTATTTACACTCGGAGACTGCAGGCCCTGGGGAGGGGTATCCAGTGGGGAAGGGCTGGTCCAGGCTGGCTTTCAGGATCTCAAGACATGCAAACGGCAGGGAAGCCAACCCATGGAACGGCTGTTTCCTCTGTGAGGGTCACACACCTCCTTTCCAGGACAGGAGGCGATACAGAATGAAGGAAGATAAACATGGGCTAGAAGGAAGCAAGCCCTGGAAGGTGGGTATCTGGGGCTGGGAGCCCTGAGGGGCCACAGCCAGCAGAATACGGACGAGGCTGGAGGAAAAGTTGCTTACTTAGGAAACACCCACCGGAACCAGGGCGTCTGCTCTCAGAACCTTGGAAGTCCTGGTATGCAGGCATTGAAATCCCACCTTAGAAGATGATGCCCCGGGTTGCGGGCATTATCTTCATCACCTACCATACTCCTCACCTAGTGAATGAAGGGCAAGTCAAACTGGTTCCCAAATATAGGGCCAGAGGTTTATCCTATACATCCCAGCTTTCCACCCCCTATGCTGCCCCCACCCTCCTTCTTCCTTATCCTGGACTCCTCCCCATCGCCTAAAGTTTGTGAACTGGTGTCAAGGTCATTACCAGGTTCTGAGCTGTAGAGCAAAGGACAACAACTCCCTAGAGAAGCCGTGTCCCCAGGCAGCATCTGGAGGGAGGGGTAATGAAGGCTGGATCTTCCTCTGGGATCGGTTGGGTTGCACCTCTCCTGCCGGGATGTCAGCTGTCCTGCCTCTGCCCAAGTGAGCGGAGAGTCCGCCCCACTTCTCCCTTGCAGCCAGCACCCAAGGCCCCGCAGCTCTACCATATTGGGGCTATTGCCATGGCCCTGGAGCACCAGGGAAGGTGGCCCTAAAGGAGCCAGGCCCCATGATCTCCTACTGTGTTATCTGTCCCAAAGGAAAAAGATGCCAACCTGCCCCTCCACACCTCACTGGGAACTCACGTGTTGGGAGAGAGACAAATAAAGCTTTGCACGCCACTGTGTTGTGATATTGGAAAGTACCTAAGACTCTGGTGGCACAGATGAGGGTGTGATGACCTCCACTTGGGTGGTTCAGGAAAGAAGCCTGGCCTTGAAGGAGAAGCAAAAGTTCACCAGATAGATGGGGTGCAGGGCATTCCAGATGCAGGGGAGACTCAGAATAGCAGAGGCATGGAGGCTGCAACAGCAAAGCACAGTTTGGATTGGCTTCCTTTTTGTCGTTCAGGCATCAGCTTAAATGGCTTTCTTGACCACCTACTCCACAAGAACCCTCTCTCCAGCACTTGGTTCTAGTTCCTTTTTAGAATTTACCTACTATTTTACATTTGTTTGTTGTCTACCTCCCTGACACCCCCCCCCCGAAAATAAACTCTATACGCCGCCAGACACTGTGTTTTTTTTTTCCTCAATGTCCTCAGCATCCAGAACAGTGCAAGTGAACATACTTTAATAGGTGCTCAGTAAATGCTGTTGAATGGATGGGTGGATGAATGAGTCGTTTGCAGCTGCAGGCAGTGAGGAACGTATTAGGAAGCGAGAATTCCCCCCTAAGCAACTCATGAAAGATACTAGCTCCAGAAGAGAGGGCTCCTAGGGACGAGGTTTGGGGCGTAGTTGCGGTGGGAGGCGGTGTCCCAGGCCCAGGTCGGCTTTTCAGAAAGTAGGGAACTGGCCGCGGAGAGCTAAGTGACCGGCAGTCTGTGCAGTCACTCACGCTGCGTTCCCGGGTCTTTCTGCCTCCAGAAAAGCGAGGGGAGGGAAGGTCTTCGCTCCCCAGGCACCGCCTCTCAAGCCTCCCGCTGGGCCCTTCTGGTTGCCTCCGAGCCTCAGCCTGGGCGGTCAGCGGTGGGTTGGGGAGGATCCCCTCGCCTGCCTCGCCTTCCCTTCTCCCCACCTTTTTTTCTTCCTTCTCTCCGTGGTCTCTGCCGCGCCCTAGCCCGGCGGCCCCGCAGCAGCCCGGCGGCCCCCGCCCCCTCCTGTAAGGGCGAAATTGCTAAACTTGTAGCAATAATGACCCTGCATTCAGGCGGCCGACTCCCGCTGAACGTCTCTGCGCCCCGGCCAGCCGGGCCTAATCAGTGCGGCCCTCCCTGCTGCCCGCCCAGCCTCCGTCCCCCCACGCCGCCCCCTCCCCCAGCGCACAAAAGTGGGGAACAAAACCCCCCGCGCATTTCTCCGTCCCTCTGTTGAGCAGACTGCTGCACAAAGCCCCCGCTCTAAGAAGCAATGGGGAGTTGGGGAGGGGGGGACGTCAATCCCGATGCTGGGGTTTTTGTTCGCGCAGGGGACTTCGCCTTCCTACCACACCTTTTGTTCGGGACTCCAATAAAAAGCCATTCTTTCCGCACCTTCCCGGCCCGGAGCCGCCTTTCAGCGAGGCCCGGCCCCACAATGGCGCGGCGCTCTGAGGCCTCCCCATTCACCCGCCTTGGCACGCTCACAATCGGCCGTGTGGCAGCACAGACCTCGCGCAGGCATTCTCCGCAAGTGACAAGGAGCGGCATAAAGCCGCGGCCGCCGGGGGAGAAGGGAGGGCGGCCGAGGGGGAGAACGCGGCCGCGGCGGGGCGCAGCGCACTCGGGCGCGTTGTAAGCCCCGGCGGCCAAAGAAGGAGCTACCTTCGCGCCGCCTGCGGCTGGGCCTGGGGAAGTTTCCTTTTCCCGGACGACCCTCCAGGTGGGGCAGAGTCTAAGCCTTGATCCAAGGCAGACTCAGGCACTAGCCCAAACATCTGGGGAAAAATTGGGGGGGTGGGGGGTGGGGGGATTACAAAGCCCCGGACCTCAAAAGGCCGTGATGCTCCGACCTATTCTCCCCACTAGAGCAAAAAGAAATTGATGAACAAAGCCACGAGGAGCCCAGACTTGCAGCCTGGGGACTGGCGCAGGGCCCAACAGGCCTGCGATCGCCCAACTGCTCTCCCTTACTCACCTGGTCCTCCCCTGCCCGCCGGATTTAAAGGATCCCTCCCCACTGGGGTGTGGGTAGGGGGCTAAACAGAGTCTGTAGCCGGCTAATGGTTTGGAAATATTGCACCTTGTTTATTGACTCCTGTAGTGTATGGCAGCGGGTGTGTACACGGCATGTGGATATAGTTTTATATATATATTATATGTGCTGAATACAGAATACGAAACAGAAAGGAACCCGGTGACACCTTCCACGGGCCACCAGGTCCCGGATTTGTTCAGCCCCCAGATTGTTTATCTCGCTTCGCTGGTTTTTCTTGAAGAGTTCTACCCCCGGACAATCCGAAGATCCAGGCCGAGGAATCTCTGCTGAGGGCAGGCGGTTGGAAAAAGGAAAATCGAGTGTAGTGTGGCGCTCCGGGCCCGCAAAGGGGGCCAAAGGTCCGTGGGGCTTGGGGATTTCTCAAGCCACGACGCCCATTTGTCTCTCCTTCATGCTATTTTGTGTGTGTGTCTTTGGGTTCTCCGCCAACGCTTTGAGGAGGCCTTGGGAAGCCCGAGGGAGAGAAGCCTTCTCGCTCGGGGAGAACCGAGCGGCAGCAAGATTCCCAGCCTCTCGCTCTCCGTTCAGGGCCAGGTCGGGGCCACCGTCCTCCCCGGCACCAGCCGGCCTTTCTGCCTCGGAGTCAGTCTCCGCACCGGCCCTGGGCATCCTCCTCGCCCCTGAGACCCCTTCCTCAAGCCGAATGTGAGCTGCGCTCAGGGCTCTCTAGTGAGCGAGACGAGTTTTGTTTTGTTTTGTTTTTGTTTAACAAGGGGACTTGGCCCTTGGATCCAGCCTTTCTCGCACTCAGTCCCGCGGCGCCAGGCTGTGGTGGGGCGCCCGCCGCCTTGACCCTACCAGGCCCGGATGCCCTGCAAGGTGCCCTGCGCGCAAGCTGCCCCGGCCGCCGCACCCTGATGCAACGGCTGAGCGCTGCCACCGCCGCCGAAGCCGCCCAGGTTGCTCACGTTCACAAAGGGGCCGCCTCCGGCCGCGCTGCAGGCGGGCTGCAATGCCGCGGCCGCCGCAGGGGCCCCGCCGCCCCCTCCGCCGCCGCCGCCCGCGGGGTACGCACAGCCGTAGCTACCGCTGTAGGCCGCAGCGGCGGCGGCGGCGGCGGCGGCGGCGGCCGCGGCCGCAGCCGAATTTCCATAGCCGTAGGCGGGGAAGCCGTTGTAGGAGTAGGCGCCCGCGCTCACGCTGTAGGGCGCCCCGTAGGCTTGGGCGCCGGGCGTGACGCACGGCTTCCCGTTCCGCACCAGCACCGGCACCGCCACGTGGCGCGGCGGCGGCGGGGGCGCGTGCGCGCCCAGCTCCAGAGACTTGTCCTGCCGCTGTCTCTTGCACTTGTACCTGCGATTCTGGAACCAGATCTTCACCTGCGTGGACGTGAGCTTCAGGCTGCTGGCGAGGTGCTCGCGCTCCGGCGCCGACAGGTACCGCTGCTGCTTGAACCTGCGCTCCAGCTCGAAGACCTGGGCTTGCGAGAAGAGGACCCGGGGCTTCCGGCGGCTGCGTGGCTTCGGCCTCTCGCCATCCTCGGCCGCCTTACAGTCTCCCGCCGCCTCCAGAGGCTTCTTCAGCTGGCAGCTTTCTGCGGAAGAAGCAAAACATCAGCGTCCCTTAGATGTGCCAGACCTCACGACAGCTCCGGCCCCGGAGCACGGTGCCCTTGTTGGTAGCTGCACGGAGCGTGCGGTAGTAAATGTCTAGAGTTTTTGGAAAGTTTGTGGCTCCTTCCAAGCACAGTTAGAACGCCCTCGAGGCACGTTCCACGGGGAGGGGTAGTTATAGTTAGTGCGCGGCGTTTATTTAGAACTTGAGCATCTGCGAGAGAGATTACCCCGTATTACATGTGCGGCTCAGCGTGCTAATGACTATTTTCAGGATGCACGTTTGCAACTACATAATAACTACAGTATTTGCAAACTCGTTTGCCTTCCACGCCGTCACAGATAGCGGAAGGTGTGAGGCGTGTTGGTATCTGGGAGCCGGTATGCGAGAGTTGCACGGACATCTTTCTGATAGAAAGTGTAACGCTCGTGCATTGCCCAGCGACTAATTTGTGCTCGTAAAGCACTGCATGCTCACAGCTAAATGCCCGTGTGATGTCGTCTGTGCTGCCTTAGAGAGAAAGGAAATTTGACTGATACAGACAGCTTCACGTCGATTTTAGGCCCAGGGGAGCTGTCAGAGGGGAGGCAGGCCTCGGCTTTGGCCAGATCAAATTTCCTCTTGGGGAAAGAGATTCCACCGTGTCCCCTCAGACACAAACACCTCCTTGGAGGTTGTATTCAGTTATCTGAGTTCCCTGCCCAAGTCACCTCCCATCCGATGGGAGCGCCGGGATCTTAGACTAAGTCTGGCGCGGTTTTCCTTCGGCCGGAAGCAGCACTGCCTGGGACACAAAGCAAAACGTTAAGAATTCTTTAAAAAAAAGGCCGGCGCCTCAGGGGTGTGAGTGCTCTGCGGAACAGACTGTGTTCCCACGCAACCTCTCTGCCGGGTGCTGTGGGTTCGAGGACGCTGAGCTCCAAGTAAAGAGAAGAGGAAATCACTCAGCTGGTCTCTAGCAAACTTCCTGTGCCCCGTGGATGCTGGACACAACCTGCTTGGACCCCCCTTTTTTTCTGAAAAGAGGGACCACTGCTCTGGCATCAGAGAACTGGTCTCATGCTAGAGGGAAGGTGGAAAAGATTCAAGCTCTGGCCCCTTTAGCTCTTGGAAAGAGCAAAAATACAGTGAGTTTGCCCGGACTCAGCGGCTGAGCCCCTGTTGCTTATCTACATTAGGGCGGCAACACCGACCTTCCCTTCCCTTAGGGGCTGCATGGACCCCTCTCTGGGAGGAGGAGTTGTCGGGGTCACCTGGTCCTTCTCCCTCCACCCCAGGCACCTGCTCTTTGCGGAGTTGTCCTGGACCAGGGCGAGGCATGACCCCAGCCAAGGGCTAAAGGGGCAGGTTTTGGGGGGTATCTGGGGGCGCTCCGCCATTGCTCCAGATGTGCGGGTGCGTTTCCTTCCCCCCTCTACTCACTTTGGCTCCGGTCCCTCACGACCTCGGAGTCCTCTTCATGTTCCTTAGGCCCGCCGCATGAGTCTCGCAGGACCGCGTGGACATAGCTCTGCGGACAGAGCCCAGAATCCCCGTGGCCGTCGTGGCCGTCGGCCGTGGCTAGTGAGTTCAAATAGGACAATTTCTCCCCTTCTTCTTCCTCGTCTTCTTCCCCTCCGTCAGAAAATTGCGTCCCATCGGCGGTGGCCAGCATGCAGGGCGCTGAGTGGAAGTGGTGCTCCAAGTCCGCTTGCAAATGAGCGCCGTGGAAGTGCTGATGCTGCTGCTGCTGCTCCAGGTTCAAGATGTCTTTGACTGAGAAAGGGGTGGAAGTGACCGGGCTTGGTAACATCATCAGGGCCACTTAATTTTCCAGCCCAAATACTCAATAAATCCCGGCGGGGGCGGGGAGGCAGCGCAGCGCTCCAGCTCTCCTTCTGAACTCCACCGCGGCTGCCGAGTGGGGCTTTTGACAGACGCGGTCCTGCTCCAGTCTAAATCGGCTCCATTGGCCGGGACCTGGGAGTCTGGGTTTTGTTACAGCCACTGCAGGGTCTGGGCCCTCGGTGGTGAAGCCTGTGTCTGAGGTTCGTGCGTCATGCCAGGGGCGGGGCTCTCGCCTCAACCTCGGTTCCCATTGGTTCCAGCTCATGCGGACCACGCCCCCCACTTCCACTGCGTGGGGAGTAGTGACCCGACCAGAAATAGACAAGTCCTACGAGAGAGGCTCCAAGTCTGAGTCGCTGCTGGTGAGTCTGCACCGCCTCGGGTGCCCGAACACCACTTCCCGCCCCTTCTGGCTGCACCTTCCCGGCCAGCGCCAGTTCTGGGAGGTTTCCTGTCCGCAAACCAACGCTCTCGGAAGGATGGATGGCCCAGGAGCATGATTTTTCCAGCTGCTGCGGGGCAGGAGAGCTTCCTTGCCTATAAATACCGGGCATTAGATCCCCAAGGAGGCAGAATGTTTTATATATCCATAGATGATCGACGTGTCCGTTCCCGCCTCATTGACTTTGCTCAAGCTGTTCCCTCCCATTGGAACGCCTTCCCCACGCTCCCACGCTTGTCTCCATGAGTCAAAAGTGTTCTCCAAGGTTCAGATCAAATACCACCTCCTCCAAGAAAGCGTGCCCCCCTGGTCGCCTGGCCGGAGCCCATCTCTCTTGAATCTGAACTTGCAGCGTGTGTTAGTAAAGGACATTCGGTCACTTACTACTTCCCACTATGGCTATATTGCCTACTTGCCCCACCCAGGTAGACTATGAGCCCCCCCAAGGCAGGGTCCCGGTTGCATTTGCCCTTGTATTTGTCTTGCAGCAACTGCACTCAGCAGGTATGTGAGAGACAGTAGGATGGAGTTATTACTGAACTTTGTTTTCTCACAACTCTTGGTTTGAATCCTAGCCTAGTCAGTGTGTGGCCTTGGGCGTTTCTAAGCCTCAGTTTCTTTGTCTACAAAAAGGAGACAATAATACCTTCTTCAGGGTTGTTGCCAGGGATAAATGAGGCAAAACATGCCAGGAGCCAGGGGAAGGCCCCACACATGTTAAGTGCTCAAATACATGTCAATTACTGCTATTCAACATTAGAGGTCAAGCAGTGTTTGTTGACTGCACTGTTGAGACGAAGCTGGAGTCCTGCGCACACGGTGGCTTCATACAGTCTTGATGAAGAATCTGTCCTCAGAAGGGCGGTGAAAAAACCAGCCCTGGAGACTGTCCTTTCCGCCTATTGAAATTGGGGGCCAGTTTCTAGGCCTTGACCCTTGGAGGCCTCTAATTTTCCCAATCCACACACCTTCTGGCGCCCTCGTGCGGCCCCCTTCGTGTATTCTAGGCGAATCTGTGGGGTCTCCTGAGATACAGGAAACTCCACGCTGGTAGGGATCATCTTCCCGCACAATAGGCGTTCGCCTGCCAATCCGCCCAGCCCCATGAGGAACGGGGCGCAGCTAAAGACCCGGCATAGCGCTGGCCTTGAAAGAACAGAGATCTGTTCCCAACCAACCTTGATGCTCCATCCGGCCTTAGCTGCCCTAAGCATTTTTTTATTTTATTTTATTTTTTGGCAGTTGAGATGGTGGAATTGGGGGAGACCGGCTTCCGCTGGAAGGAGCGGGGTGGACCGCGCAGGGACTGTGGACAACGTCCCTGGGCGGTGGCAGACATGGAATGGGAGTGGGGAATGAGGGTGGAGAGCTGCCAGCGGCCCCCCCCCCCCCGCCCCTTTCCTCACTCCCCCGCAACAGCAGGAGGAGTGGGTGTCCAAGACTAGGGAGAGAAAGAACAGCCGGTCGGGAGGTGGGGAGAGGCGGGGCGGTTCAAGAGGGAGCGGAAATGGTGGGGGAGTCAGCTCCTGGGGAGCTTGGGGAGCTGGGACGCGGCCGCGCGGGCCACGTGCGCTGGGGAGTTCTTAGGTGCCAGTGGCCGGTGGGCTGTGGGGGGACCCTTTGTGGGCAGGGCCTTGCGCCAGGAAGACCTCTCCCCAGCTACTGGGGCACCCCGTGCCTTTCAGCGGTGAATTCTCAGACTATTGACGCCCCAGGCGGGCCGGCGTCTCCAAACCAGGCCGTGGTGTTGCTGAAAGAAGGATGCGCCTGGTTTTGCGGCAGATCAAGAATGCTTGGGCGCAAAGATCGAGAAAGAGGTGGGGGTGAGTGCACGGCACGGCCGGCTGCGAGTCCTTGAGCGTGTGCGTTGTGGAGTCAGGCAGATGTAAGGGAAGGAAGCTGCGCTCCAGCTTCACCCCTCCGCCCCCATCTCCAGGGGTAGACGCCTCGCGGGGGAATGTTTGGCTCCCCTCTGGTCCTCATATTTTTTTTTTTACGCTTCTCTGGGTGCTTTCCTTACGTGATTCCAAGATTTAGAAAACAGAAAAAAGACAAAAGCTACCGACACTATCTCTCGCATTTCCAACGAAGCCTGCATTTTCCCTTGCTACGTTCTCTGGCTTCTCGGCAGCACCTCGCTCCTAAGCTTTCCCTAAGTTCATCTCTGAGACCCCCATCTTAGATCCCGCGGCTGGGCACAGGGAACAACGAGGTATGGCCACGCACCCTCTGGAGTCTGTCCGGTTGCCTCCTCCCCGAGCACGTAGAAGGCTGTCTCCTCCCCACCCGCAGGCCCACTCGGTCCGTTCTCCTCCCCATCCGCTGCCACCAATACCCACCCAGATACCCTTGGGCCAGGCCTGAGTGGGTTATCTCCTGCGTCCCCTGACCGTGTTGCTCCTCAGCGGGCCGCCTGGGGACGAGTTCAGAGTCGATGGGCTGAAGGCTGGTGAGGATCCGGAGCGGGGAGCCCAGGTGCTGGGGCTTAGCAGGCGGTTCCTGCGCCCTGTTCCCCTTTGCTCTTCTCATACCCAGCCCCGCGCAGGGCTGATCTATGGCGGCGAGGGCGGGGGTGGGGTGGGGTGGGGAGGAGAACGGGAGGCGGGGGAGACTTCTACCTGATATCTGGTCTAAAGCAGGGGCTCCAGTCATCTCTGGCTGCCCTCCCCTGCTTTGGGTGCGTCTGGTTCCCTGGAAGTTGAATTTCCCAGCCGGGATCCTCACCAGGCCGATCTCATCTAAATAAGTGGCCTGACTTTTTGTACCAGCCGGCAGCCAGCCCTCCCCTAGACTGGAGAGAGTGCAGCCACCAGCTGCGCACCCCTGCCCAGGAGGAAAACCCCAGAGCACCAGTTACCTTACAGCCACCGTGGGTTCTCCGGAGTCACTTATCAGAATGTGGAATCTGTTTCCAAGGAGTATCCAGTTACGATTGTGTTCTGGGGCATTTGCATTCTCTTGTCTGAAACGAGGATCTTTAAAATCCTGGAGCTGTGCTCAACTAATAATAGGTTTTCGTTCCAGACAGTTTAGCTAATTACTGTCAGATAAAGTAAATATCATTGCACCCATGGAAGCGTTTGGTTTTATTTTAATCGAGTGTAGTGCAGGGTAGTATCTGCCTGTGTATGTCAGCTTGTCACATTATGCAGCTATGCAAGTCCCCTTCCTCCCATATGCGATTAAAGATCATAGTAAAATGATGGCAAACTCTAGGAGGGGAAAGTGCTATATAGGTTCATAAGAGATAAATAAAACTATACCTTTTTTGGAGAAAAGTCATGTGCTACCCATTAAAATAAATATGTTCTCAAATAAAAATGTGATGCTTCTTTGAAAACTTTGAAGTGTTCCCATAAGTTATTATTGTCTACACAAAAATTACCTCATTAATATCGATATGAATATAGGCAGATAATCGATCATTTTAGTTATATATGCCACTGTTTTTGTTGTTACCTTCGAACTATTCAAATAACCAGTTAATTCTGTAACCAAATCCACAAAAAGGTTGAAAGTTATTGTGGCTTTCTAATCTCAATGTAGCACCAAAGTCAGAAGTGATATTTCTATTAAAGCATAAAAAACCGTCCTGTGATGAACTCACAGCTAGCCAAAACCACATGATAACATTTCAGCAGAATTTTTTTTCATAGAATTTTAAAATTTTTTACCGCTCTCCTAGAAATTTTATTTTTAATGGCTCTTAAATAAACAAGTAAATAAATAAAAGGAAAAAGTTTCCTCTTTAGCGGCAGCACTAAATAGGCTTTTGTTATTTTGTTGGTGGTGTGTATGGGTGCATGTGTTTTGGTTTGATTTTTAGTAGAGGGATGTTAGGAAGCTATTCAAATTTTTTGATCAATCTAGAGGCAATAGTGTTTTGTGAGAAGGTTGAATACATTTTCTACTTTTCAAGAAACATCAACTTGGCAGGTCAGTCCCAGAAAGCACCGAACTGATCTAATTCTGTCAGAGGAAATTTTTCCTCAGTTTGGTAATTTTGTAATCGATTTTGAAATGTCATTTTAGCTTGTTTTGCATGTATTTGTGTAAATGCCATATTTTTCCATTTTGTGTCTGGAATTGAGTTTTCTAAAGAAGCTACCACGTCCCTTCCCTGGGAGAAAACCAGTCCAGGTTCAGTAATCCTGTAAATCTTTGTAAATTACAGGCCCTTGCGGAGGAAGTGAGTTTCGATTTCTCGGGGAGAGGACTGTCCACATCTATGTGTATCTGCTCCACTCCAAAACATTTTAAGATAACAATGTAAATACAGCTTTCGTCACCAAAACAAGTTCTATTCTGCCCATAAAACACGCGTTAGAAAGGCTAACTTTGTCGAATGAAAATTAATGCATATTTTTTCAAACAATAAAAAAACGCCCACAGAAAGGATGCCTAAACACAGACGTTTTATTTGTACTATTTGGGAGTGCAGTGAAGTTTTAACTTGGGGATTAAATTGGAATTCTGGACGCATTCCTTAACTTCTTTTTAGTGTGAGTTTAACTTCCTGTAGCAAG